TATAACTTCTTGTCTTAGTTTTCATTTATACCTTCAATGTCATCAGACATAATATTATATTTTTATTGTGAAAAGAAGTTGAGAAATATTGATTAACGATTTGAGAACATGTTATATCGGCAAGAGCGATTTATATGAAAGCACACTAAGTAATGTATGGATCTTTCTGTAACATTTGTTTTACCAATCTACTTAAAAAATAATGAACTTAGATAAATCACGTTTTTCGCTAATAAAAAGCTAATAAGAGGAATTAACGAATGTATTTATTAAAAAATCCGATTCTCTCTTACCCATGTATGTCCTCTCATTAGTTATAACGAAGTTATAATATTATCGTCCTTCTGTTTTAATTTCTAGTTATCTTAATCAAGTTAAATAATTAATATGTTTACACATCTAAATCTCCTTTCTCCTACTATTCGTGCGTTCGGGGAGACGATATAATTAGCGCTATTTCTGTCATTCTATCTTTGTTGTTTATTAGACGTAAAACAAGCAAGGACAGAATACGCTAATAATAGTCTCCGAATGCATCTTATCCCAACTGTGCAAAAAAAAATTTCGAGTACAGGAGAACGGCCAGCGACGGTTGACAGCACCAGAAGTAGCGCGAGGTGATCGGCAACGTGGTAAGGGTGCGGAGGTGTTCCTGGGTCGTTTGCCACGCGATTGCTACGAGGACGAGCTGATGCCGTTGCTGGAGCAGGTGGGCCGACTTCTGGAGTTGCGATTAATGCTCGATTTTTCCGGGTCAACGCGCGGCTATGCATTTGCGTTGTTCGAGGATTCGCGGATTGCTCGCATAGCATGCGAGCGTCTCGACGGCTACGAAATCCGGCCGGGTCATCGCATCGGCGTGGTCAAGTCTATGGACAACTGTCGACTCTTCTTCGGCGGCGTGCCCAAGACTAAGACCAAGTCTGAATTCATGGAAGAGCTGACCAAGATACTGGACGGCATCACGGACATCTATGTTTATCCGAGTGCTCAAGATCGCAACCTTAATCGTGGTTTCATCTTCGTCGAATTCAAAGATCATCGGGCAGCCGCAATGGCCAGGCGCAAGCTTATACCCGGTAAAGTGATGTTGTGGGACCATGAGATCGCGGTGGATTGGGCGGATCCGGAGCCGGGCGATCCGATCGACGAAGACATCATGGAAACGGTAAACTTTTTATCAAAATCTACTTTTATATATATATTTGTCTTTTTTTTAACATTAATTCAATATACAAGTTTTTCTCTTATTTCATGACTCAATCAGTATTTTATTAATTTATTACTAAATTTAATGAGACATGCAGCGTAATGTGATATTTTAACAAATAATCGATATACAAAAGAAAAACATAAAAATAGTATGATTACGCAAAATAAAATACAATAAAAAATGTATTTTACTAGATATGTAACATTATCGAAACGGAGATTAAATAAATTGGAGCATTTGTACAGATCGTGTGTACAAATATATTTCGAATTGAGAAAAATTAAAAAATAACTAGCTTTTACACGTTTGATAGTTTATTAATAACTTTATTATACTCAGACAAAAATTTATTAAAAACGCATGACTAATATAAATATTTTTTTCAAATATTATAGAATATGAATAGTGATGTTATGTTCATGACATTATTCGCTCTAATTGAAGTCGACGTTGATTAAATCGCAAATTTATAAATATCCGCAAAAATATATATATATATATA